TGCTTGGTTGGCTGGCTGGGAAGGAAGGAAGGAAAGCAGGCAGGCAGGCAGGCAGGCCTGCCTGGCTCTTCCATCTTTTCTGAAATCCCTCATGCTGGAGAACATGGTGGTCTCACCTTTGCCCTCCTCACCTGCACCTCCTTTGGCTTTTATCTTGGTTGTGAACAGCATTTGCCACTTTCCAGGGTGATGCCCCAGAATCTCTCCGCTTCATTCCTTCTGCCTTGTCTGCCCAGGTGGAAGCAGAGAAAGGTTGACCAGGACTCTGGTGGTGAAATATGGAAAAGGGGAACTTTAAGGAGGGATTTCAATAAAGCCTTCAGCTCTGCAGGACACACCGGTACCTGATTGCTAAGGACTTGGCGCTAAGACTTTTGTCTTTTAATGAGCATTGGTGGCTGAGATAAGGAATTAACACTGTCCTAATAAGTATTTGTAAAATGGATTAATTAATGAGTGAAGACAAACCATCAATATTTGATGCTGTTGTGAATCCTGAAGCATTAACAAAGAATGGAGAAAACTAAACATGTGGTTGGAATTCTGTTGCCTGTTCATTCATCCCACAAAGACTTAACCTGTCACCTGCTATCTATACAGCACTGCTGTTTGTGTGTGTTGAAATAGACGGCACGGTGAAAAAGACAAAACTTTGGGCCTCGTGGAACTTAATACAGGCAGTCCGTGGGTTAGGAACATCCAGCTTTCTGACAAAACTCCTACTTGGCCTTTGAAGCAGGGCTTTGAACCGATTCGAACTGGCTCTATCACAGCTGGTGAAAAAGAAACAGGAAGCGATCAGAATTTTTATAATTTGTGTGATTTGTCATGATAACCAGATTGGGGACACTTGTGGGTTTAAGTCTTGAAATAGGAGACTAAGAAGATGTGGAGGAAGGGCTAAAGTGAGCCTTGTCAGGAACCTGATACACCCGAGATTGGGGTGCCGGCAGGACTGTGGCAAGTACCACACGTTCAGAGCAACTCGGGCAGCAACATCTCCAGGGGGGCACTGCCGTCTTTGCGCTTCACCCGCCAAGATGGAGCCAAGAAGAACCAGTTTGAAAACAATTCAACAGCCCCTCCCTACGGGCAGCAAAGTCTTCATCATGGCCGCTTTCACTTGTTGCACATGCCACTGTTAAATCACGGAAAGGATTTCCAGTCTTCTCTTGCATTAAGCAAGGCAAAGGAAGTACCCTATTTACACCTGTCCCAACTACCCTACGAGTTCTTAAAAGGCATAGTAACCAAGGAGAGAAATACTTAGAGTAGATCAGAGTAGGATATGTAAATTAGGATATGGTGGGAGCCCCCCCACCACACACACACACACACACACACACACACAGAGTCTTGAACAAATAAGAGAGTTGTGGAGAGCACACAGAAAGTGCCCTTGCCATGTGTACTAGACTGGTCTTCCTCAGAGGAAGGCTGTGATATGTGCAGAGAACACTGGTCTAGGGGTCAGGAGATCCTGATGCCCACAGACTGAGAGCCTTGGCTAAGCACCCGACTGCCGCTGGCCCAAGTGGATGGGTTCAGCTAGGCACTGTAGACAATTTCTTCTAGCTCTGGAATTCTGTGATCTGACTCTGAACCTACCTCGGGGCTCTTGTCTCGGGAGTGTCAGAGGATACTTCTGGAAGAGGAACCTGTGACCTGAGCCTAGAATAATGGGTCTCCTTAGTGCTTATTTGTGCCAGATAGCTGTTAAAAGTTTTAATGTCAGTATTAGACCCTCTTTTGCACTCAACCATCTGTTGGTGGTATAGTGGGGTCATCTGGCTTACATCATTAAAACATAAGCGACAACATCATTCACAGAAGGGCCACAGGGGTACAGATGGCACCAAACAAATGTATCTCCCCTCTTCACAGAGCAACTAACTCAAACGGCTAGCTCTCAGCACGTGGGAAGTGCGTTCAAGATGCTTTTAGGAAGTCAGCACCGCTCACTGAGTAGGTCCACACAAATGCCAAGCAGAACCCCTATTTCTTTCATGTCCCTTTTTCTAATACTACTGAAAAGATAAGACCAATGCTTCCTCAGCTCCCACATTCCCATAAACAGGACTCTGGTTGCCCTTTGATCCATGAGAATGACAGAGGGTGTTCTTCCAGTTGCAATTGCTGGAGAAAGCAGGGTTGCCAGAAGTTAGCACTGTGGTTGCAGATATTCACAGGATTCACAGCTTTTGAGACACAGTTGCTTGGATTTCACCATCCTCAGTCAACCTGTCTGGGTGTCACCTGGAAAAAGACAGTCTCCCAAAGTGGGGAATACTGCCCCCTGCAGGGCACTAGGAAGATCGGGGAAGAGGGGCGCAGATACCTACCTACACTTTATTCTAGATTATGGACCATAGTGCAAAAATTGTTCATTGCCAGGGGCAGGGGGTGGAGGTGGCTCTGAGTAAATTTTTTTTTCCCCTAAAAAGCGGTTTTGGGGGGTGGGGCAGGGAGCAGGTAGGCCAAATAAATTTGAGAGCTGTAGAGATAGAGCAAAATAAGAACTCCCTTGCGGTCAAGACATCATCGTTCCGTATCTGCTTCCTTTTGAGTCTTGCTCATGCTGAGGGCTCCATGCCTGTGCTCAGGACGTGTGCAAAGTGGTTGCTAGAGCTTCTCTCGCCACCCCACCCCCCCATTCACCACCACCCCCCCTCCCATGTATGCAGACTCGGGCATCAAGCTACTCTGACTAGAGCAGATTAAATTTGCTCAATAGATATTAAGTATCAGATTTGAGAAAAAGGTAAAATTAGGCCGATTACTGAAGTCCAATATCTTTGTCTATACAGTTCCGCTACTTAAAGGAAAGAACGCTTTCCTGCTTCTTGCAAATAGGTTCATTGCTCAGACTGTGAAGGGAATCCGGGGAAAATAGTTTGAATTCTTGGAGGACAGGGCAGCTAAACAGAAGAGGATGAAAGGCATGAAAAGTGGGCCCAGCAGAGACACCAGGCCCATCAGACCCCCACCGAGACACAGCCAGCCTCCTTGCAAGATTGTGGCCCCAAAGCTCTCTGTTAATCCCACCCTCGAGTTCTTGTGAATTTGAATTTCTTGTTTCCATATTTCCTCTTTATTTTCACTCGTCAGAGATTCATTCTACTTAAAAGTATTCTCTTTTAAAAATTCTAAGAGGATGAAGGTACTGTCATCATCACTCACTCTTTCATTCATCGAATGTTATTTGAGTCCCTACCTACTACCTGTCTTTTGAATCCACCCCGACCCAAAGCAAGTCTACAAGACAGAACCAAACTGCCCCCAAAAGATTTCCTTGGCTGGACTTCTTACAGAAGCAGACTGGCACGCCTCTTCTCTTGAGGAGTGGCTCGTGACTTCAAGCTGGCATGGCCACCAGGGGATCTTTCTTTGAGCCCGTACGATGAACCTGTTTTAGAGTTGACAATCAAATTAAGACTGAAGAGAGAAGTCCAACGCTCATAACAATAACAAACCTCGTTACAATAATAAACCTTGTTGCTCTCTCATCAATTCCAACTCGTAACATCTCACCGGGCACTAACGCACCGTTGTCACGTCAATGCTAACACAACGGAACTGAGCGGAAATGTCCCAGAGGGTTTCGGAGATTGTAGGTCTTTATAGAAGCTGACTGCCTTATCTTACTCCTGTGGAGCCGTCGGTAGATTTGAACCGCTGACCTTTCAAAGGTTGGCAGCATGATACTTAACCTGCTGAGTCATCAGGACTCCTGGCAAGTCTCTACTAAAAACCCACTGCTCTCCTGTTCACTCCAACTCAGAGTGAGTCTAAACGGGTTTCAGAGGCTGTGCTGTGCATTTTTACAGGAGCACATAGTCCCATCTTTCCCCCGTGGCTTTGAATAGCTGGTGAGTTTGAACTAGAGACCTTGTGAGGAGCAGCCCAAAGCTTGGATGACCCTATAGCTAACATGAGTTGGGGTATGTATATTATGGCACAGTCTATGCTAAGTCAGTTGCCCCCATCGTTCTATTTAGTCTGCACAAGAGCACTCTGAGGTGAGATTCAGTGCAGATTGCCACTCATTGGTCAAGAAACAAAGAGATGAGGTGTGTTGCCTAAAGTCATTTGACTGGGAAAATGACAGAGGCAGGATTAGAACCCGTTATCCGTTCAGTTTCAGAGCAAGACTTTTCTAAGTGCTAAGCTGTCCTCGTCTTATGGTGTTCTATGGAGGCAGCTGTGGAGTGTAGAACAGTGCTTCCCACAGTGGGCTATACTGCCCCCTAGAGGGCTCTGTCATAATGGATGGGAGGCGGTTGCTACAAAAGCAGATACCTCTACTTTATTCTGGATTATGGGCTATAGTTCAAACATTTTTAATGTTGGCCAGGGAGGGTGCTGAATAATTTTTTTAAAGGAAGTGGTAAGCCAAAGAAATTTGGGAACTATGGTTGGATTGAGAATTTGCCCTGAATGCCATTCTCCAGCTGCCCAAGCCCAGATAACCTGTTTTTTGGTGTGTGGATTGTTGTTGTCTTGTTTGGGGGGTGGGGGTGGGAGTTGGCAGCTGCATGATAGACCCTGCCAATAGACGAGGCCCTACTGTGGCCAGTCCACACAGAGATAGCTTGTTGTTTGTCTTTTCTGTTTATCTCTACATCAGAGAGCAGAGGTAGTTGGTGAGTGTATTCTGTTAGGACAGCCCCACAGGGGGTGAGATGTAGGGGTGAACTCAGGTACCCCGGGTTGCTGCCTCGGGTCTCTAGGAATAGAAGATTATAGCAGAAAGCTATGGAATTTAGCTGCACCCCAATCACAGCAGCACAGGGTCCTTGGAGGAGGATGGAGAGTCCATCCCCATGGGCTGACTGCAAAGATCACCCAGGCAGCTCCTTGGCCTGTCTGGCCCCACAGGGATTAGTGCACGGCTCATCTGCGCTTGTCATGTGCCCCAGTGATTCCCTAAGCCTTCTCTTGTTTGGAACCGGGAGAAGCTAGCCATGTTGCTAAAACCATGTTTCTCTTTCCATCCACAGGCATGAATGCTTTACAGTTACAGAATCTGGCAACACTGGCAGCAGCTGCAGCCGCGGCCCAGACCTCAGCCACCACCACCAATGCAAACCCTCTCTCAACAACCAACAGCGCCCTGGGAGCCCTCACGAGTCCCGGTAAGAGGCGCGACTCTTCCCTTTCAGATGACACAGGGCGAGCAGTCTGTGCACCTGGACAGAGGTAGACGTGTCCAGGACAGAAGCAGGAAGTTACCCCTGGGCATCGAGGTTCTTTTAGACATTAGTTCACTCGCTCCTTCGTGTGAAACAAAGTGTGCATGTGTGTTCCTTCGTTTCCAAGGACAAAAGGAAAAAGTTTCCAGTAAAGGGATCCACTATATGAGCGATTCCTTTTGTTAAGCACCATGTCTACACCATACATTCTAATCTCACTGTTCAATCTTTAGCACAATGCAGGGCTCCAGGTGATCTGTTATGTAATGCTGATCTTTTCCTTTTCCTTTTTAGGATAATTTAAGAATTCTGCTAAATCTCAAAACCTCTGATCATTCCAGTGTGTTGTATGTCATGCCAGCTCCATCCTTCACTTTTGATTTTTACATGCTTGGTCTAGAAAAGGAACATCTCTGTTCTTTTATGGGCAAGTTCTGGACTCTGGATTATGTAATCAAAGGCCTTGTTTCCCTTCCAAAATTGTGTTGCATTCAAAAGCAGATGGTACATTTCTTCTCATACCTGCCGGGCATAATGCGGTTGCTCAGATACCATGATTTGTTTCACACACACACACTCACTGAAATATTTAGCTGACTTCTCATCTGTTCAGGATTTTCTAGACCTTGAAAGACAATTCACCTCCTCCTCTGTGACACAAAGGGAGTCGGTCTGGACAATTCCCACACTTCCTTCTAACTTTGAAAATCGAATGACCCTCTGACAGCTAAGCCCAAAAGATTAACTAACTCTTGAAACTGTCAATGGAGTAGGGCTTTCTTTTAGGAAAACACACAGTAGAAGGTAGTGCACAGGACAGAACCAGCTCTTCAGGGGGTTTTGTTTTGTTTTTAAGGCTTTGACTTCAGGAAGTGAGAAGCACGTTCTTTGAACCTGTGACCCTGCCAGAACACCAGGCCCTAGGTTTCTATGTGAAGCCCTGTCACCCTGAGATCGTGAGGTTTTGAAGGAGAAAACTAAGAGATACTTAGAAGAAACTAGCAGATTTATCTTTAATGTGCTGTGATCTCCTAGCACCAGCACGTGTATAGCCACCATTCTCTAACTTGCCTTCCAGAACATACCATGATTATGGGTATGTTCAATAGAGTATTCTTGACAAATATACTTTTAAGTCATATTTTTCCAATAAATTAAGTTATAGATCTTATTAAAAATGCAAACATTTTATTTAAATAAATCCTCTAATGATCCCTGTTGAGAAAAAACATTTTTTAATCGTTTTATTAGGGGCTCATACAACTCTTATCACAATCCATACATACATCAGTTGTGTAAAGCGCATTTGTACATTCATTGCCCTCATCATTCTCAAAACATTTTCTCTCCACTTAAGCCCCCGGCATTAGGTCCTCATTTTTCCCCTCCCTCTCCGCTCCCCGCTCCCTCATGAGCCCTTGATAATTTATAAATTATTATTTTGTCATATCTTGCCCTGTCCGACATATCCCTTCACCCACTTTTCTGTTGTCCGTCCCCCAGGGAGGAGGTCACATATAGTTCCTTGTAATTGGTTCCCTCTTTCCAACCCACCCTACCTCTACCCTCCCAGTATCACCACTCACATCACTGGTCCTGAAGGGATCATCCGCCCTGGATTCCCTGTGTTTCCAGTTCCTATCTGTACCAGTGTACATCCTCTGGTCTAGCCAGACTTGCAAGGTAGAATTCGTATCATGATAGTGGGGGCAGGGAGGAAGCATTTAGGAACTAGAGAAAAGTTGTATTTTTCATCGTTGCTACATTGCACCCTGACTGGCTCGTCTCCTCCCCGAGACCCCTCTGCAAGGGGATCTCCAGTGGCCTACTAATGGGCTTTGGGTCTCCACTCTGCACCCCCCCATCATTCACTATGGTAAGATTTTTTTGTTCTGATGATGCCTTATACCTGATCCCTTCAACACCTTGTGATTGCATAGGCTGGTGTGCTTCTTCCATGTGGGCTTTGTTGCTTCTGAGCTTGATGGCCGCTTGTTTACCTTCAAGCCTTTAAGACCCCAGATGCTATACTTTTTGATAGCTGGGCACCATCAGCTTTCTTCACCACATTTGCTTATGCACCCATTTGTCTTCAGTGATCCCTTCGACACCTCGTGATCACACAGGCTGATATGTTCTTCCATGTGGGCTTTGTTGCTTCTGAGCTAGATGGCCGCTTGTTTACCTTCAAGCTTTTAAGACCCCAGACACTATACTTTTCTGATAGCCGGACACCATCAGCTTTCTTCGCCACATTTGCTTATGCACCCATTTGTCTTCAGTGATCCCTTCGACACCTCGTGATCACACAGGCTGATATGTTCTTCCATGTGGGCTTTGTTGCTTCTGAGCTAGATGGCTGCTTGTTTACCTTCAAGCTGTAAAAAACATTTTTGACAGATAAATTACCCCCTTAAAAAATAAGAGTGATTCTTCTTCTTTAAAAAAAATGGGGGGCTCTCCAACTGGTTGTACTTCATAAATCAGATTGGAAATAAAAATTTGCCACCATGAGAGGAATAAGAAGTACTTACATTAAAATCGCACAGAGTCTTATATATACATGAAATTACACTATTCATGAGAAACAAATGACTTTAACCACATTTCATCTTATTTGGGGAAGGAGAAACTCAGTTTGTAATCTGAGTGTGTTCTGCTTGGTTTAGATAGAAGAGAAGAAGCTTACCTTTTCTCTTTATTTTAAGAATTAACTTTATTTTGTCACAAGTTAATTATTGTAATTCATCCACCCTGTCCTTCTTTATCCTGGGAAGGTAACCAGAAGGAGTGTCCAACTCTTCGACATTCAGAGGTTGAGAAAAAAGAGTAGCAAAAACCTGTATCACCCGCCGTCTGGACCCTCCGTCCTTAAGTAATTTAACGTTGATGACATTTCATATTGTGAGGATATTAAGAAGTCTCTGCTATTCCAGAGGCAGAGCATTATCACAGAAGAGCATTTGTATTAACAAGATGTAGTCTTTTGTTTGTTTGTAGGATTCGTGTAACTATTAGAGTATATTATTCTACTGTGCTATCAAAATCAATATTAAGGCATGCATTCTTTAAAAGAAGACAAGCCAGCTTAAGAAGTTCAGGCCAAAAGCAGGCATAAGTTGATCTAGGTAGAGCTGTAGATAATGCACTTCAATACATGGTATGCATTAGGTGCGTGTACACGTGTAACGTTAGACACTGTCCCAGCTGCTGCAGATAGAGCAGTGAGTGGGAATTCAGACAGTAAGCTAATAAGTGTATGATAATATATGTGATAAGTCCTGGTGGCACAACGGTTAAGTGCTCAGCTGCTAACCCAAAGGTTGGCAGTTCAAACCCACCCAGCAGGCCCATAGAACTTGCTCTGGTAAAAATTTCAACTTAGAAAACCCTACAGGGTAGTTCTAGGAGCCCTGGTGTCATAGTGGTCATCCATTGGACTGCTAACTACAAGGTCAGCTGTGTGACACCACCGGCTGCTCCTTGGGAGAAAGACAGGGCTTTCTAGTCCCATGACGAGGTCCAGTCTCAGAAACCCATCAGGGCGGTTGTTTCCTGCCCTACGGGGCTGCTGTGAGTCAAGTTGGAATCCGCGTGATGGCAGTGAGTGGCGAGGTGGGGTGGGGATGGGGATGGGTTTCTAACTCTATCACATGAGGTCTCTGGGAGTCATAATCTAAATGTGGCAGATAAGGGCTATGAAGGGAGACAAGGCAGTAAGATAGAGGCTGTGGAGGAGGCTGACAGAATCTATATTAATAAGTGTGATCAAGGAAGACTCCTCTCCTAAGAGATATTGGAGCACACACCTGAAGAAGGGGTAGGAAGCCTTGCCCTGAGGTGCCTATCACACCTTGAATGGCAGCTAGCCCCTGGAGTCACCTTGAAGCAGCAGTTGAACTCAAAAAATAAAGGTTTCACCTTTGAGTAATGTGTTCTCTGAAAAAAAAAAAATCATTTACATAAGACCAAAGCGACAAAAGCAGTTTTGCAACCGAAACAAGACAGGTGGTGGGCAGGGAGTTTAGTAAGTGGGTGGGACAAGGCAGCACAGGAGTAGCCGCGGTGCCGACATGATGTGCAGATGGAGCCCGGGCCGTGCCCATCATGGCTGCGAGCCATGGAACGGAACAGGCTTGACTGTACGTTTACACCTAAAAGATTTTTAAAAGAAGGCAGCCATGGAGGCCCTTTGGTGTAAGAGTCTCCGGGGTAGAGGAAGGAGCAAATGCAGGGCCCGGGAGGCCAGAGGGAGTGAGGCGTGAGCCCAGACCAGTCACTTCGGCCAAGGGTGGAGGGAGCGAGACAGAGGGACAGCATCCATTCCCCAAGTGGGCAGAGGGCTGAGGGAGCTGAGAGGGAAATGAAGTGGACAGGTAATGGACTTCTTCCACAAGCGTTTAGGAACCCGCTCAGATGTGAGTGTCATGAGAAGGTTGTAACCTCCTGAAAACGTGGGATGGTGGCCCAAGTGTTTGGCAGAATTAAATCACAGTGGACATTTCTAGTTTTTTGAGGGTTTTTCCCCCCACTGAAACTGTTGTGGAAAATGCACCTTCAGCCCTACATTCTTTGTTCTTTCCCTTCTCGTAGCCAAGCCCACCACTAGCAGCGTATCGCTCACTGCTCTCAAAGGCGGCCGTGTGCTCCTCGGCCAATTCCACTCACTGCGGGCTCAGGGACAGTGATTTCTCCCCGCTCCTGAGGAATGCTTTGCATGATAGCTGCAAGTATTTCATTAGAATCCTGAAGTGTAGCAGGCAGAAATGATTTAAATCTACATTTCAATTATTTTTCTTAAGTGCAACTAAAAAAAAAAAATCTGAAATTTAAGTGAAAGAAACTATTTGTCGAATCTCCACTGGGGACTTTCTCCAAGTCACGGAAAATGTGGTTAGTAGAATTGATGGCTCTCCACTTAAGCAGAGCAATTTGCTATGAAG